AAAAGAAAAAGCGAAAGGGTCCTCCTGTGCCCCTTCCTCCCTCCAGAAACCTCCTGGACTGAGTCAAGTGCGTGAGGAATGCTACCATCACCAAGCTCACAAACGAAGGAGGAACGAAATTCAGATTATTTGGAAACAGGAAATGAACTATACGTACAAGTGGCGCTTGGTTCTCTTCACCGCTCTGTAAAATGTCTGTGAAATGGTCACAGGCACCTGAATTTCTAATTTACAAATAACAACAAGAGAAAAAAGCAGTAAGATTTTTGTGGAGAAAAAAAATTCATGTTGGTTATTTCACTTCTAGGGACAGTTTGTACTTGAGGCCCGCACTTGTCCTTTTCTCTGACTTCCTACTTGATGTTTTTCAGGAGGGCTGTCCGGGCATTCACAACCGCTTTGAAGGCATCTTCACTACCAGGCGCCACGCACTTGTCGGGGTGAAGCAGTACGGCGAGTTTCCGATAGGCTTTGTTGACTTCATCCCTATGAGAAAGAAGCCAAGCTCTATGTCAGTGACAGGGTCAGCCCCCACCCACGGCAGTTTGGCTGTCTGGACTTACATCACATCTCTTGCAGTGAGCATCTCCCAAATCATCACTACCTTTTCTCAAAAGTGGGACTAAAGGACTCGGAGACAAACAATAAACAAATAAATAATACGTTACCGACAAGTAGAAAAAGAAATACAATGTGGAGTATCGACACACCAAGAAAATGCCTGGTAAAAGAATGATTCATGGAAAGGTCCTTGGCACAGAACAGGCATCCAGCAAATCTTTGCTGATTGAAGCAATGAGGGCATGGGGTGATCGGGGAAGGCCTCTGGGGTGAGGTTCTGAAGGAAGTGTGGAAACAGCGCAACTGGGAGAGAGCCGGCAGAGACTAAGAACTAGGAACAGCATGGCCACGGCATGAAGTTCCACGAGGACACTGCTGGGGGGTAACAAAAACAAATTTGGGGGGCACCTGGGTGGCTCTGTCATTAAGCGTCTGCCTTCGGCTCAGGTCATGATCCCAGGGTCCTGGGATTGAGCCCCGCATTGGGCTCCCTGCTTGGCGGGAAGCCTGCTTCTCCCTCTCCTACTCCCCCCTGCTTGTGTTCCCTCTTTCGCTGTTTCTCTCTCTGTCAAATAAGTAAGTGAAATCTTAAAAAAAAAGAAAAAAGAAAAACAAAGTTGGCCAGGAAGCAGGGGTCAGTAAGAGAAGGGCCTTGAAATCAAAACAACAACAAAGTAGATTTGATAAACAATGATATCAGTAGGTGTTTCATGACAAAAAAAAGGTGCTGAGAAAGCCGTTTCTTGAAGTTAGGAGATGGGTAGGAGGTTGTTACGAGAAGCCAAGCATGAGTACAAGAGTCTGGATCAAGAGTGGCTAAGAGATAACACACAGAAAGAATCGGCAGAAGCAGGTGATGAGCTGGATAAACAGAGGGAGGAGATGGAAGAAAAGGGACTGAAATGAGTTCCAGGGTCAGGGGGACACTGAGGCTCAGGGAAGATGGTGACACCATTGATCTAGTAAGGGATGCTGCAGATGGGGGTACCTGAGAGCTCCAGCGAGCTCCTGAGACCGAAGAAGAAACAAAAGAGAAGAGAACATTACCCAGAGAGGAAAGGGGCAATACAGTGAGTGTTTCCCAAAGAGCAGGAGAGCTCCAGGAGGGGTCTTTAGGCTTCTGAGCTCTTCACAAGCAGGGACTGGCTGGGGAGGAGCCTGGAGACCACCTGCCCCTCTCCCTGCTCTTCATCATCCTCTGGTGTCAGGCCTCCAGAAGCTTCTAAGTACCCAGCTCCTCCTCTGGTCAGATTTAGCTCTGTCCTTACCAGATAGTTTGACTTCCTACCTTCTTTTTGTAATTTAGGGCTCCAGTTATCCTATAAGCCTGGATATGGTGCTTTCCCAAATGCCCTAGCTTTTCTCCTTTATGTTTTATCAGAAGGATTTCTATTTGGCTCTCTGAATTAGAGAGATAATCTTTGATTGTCTTGCATGTGATGGAACGTCTTGGGTGTCCACTTGGAAAGACTGAGGTCATAGGGCCATGTTCATAGTCCTCTAGGTTTGGGGAAGGCTTTTTCTGCTTTCTGCTCTTAAACAAATCCTGAATTCGCTTGTTCTGAAACATGCATTGGCCTTTTTTACATAGATAATTTTGATATTAACTAACAAGAATCATATTCTCCCTCTCTGAAGAAATTCAAATTGCCAGAATTCTTCTCCAAAATAACAAATGTATTAACAAATACATTTAACAAAGTAACAAATATATTAATTCTGCTGAAGATGAAGATTTTCTTAACGTTCAGGAACAGTAAACATGGCACTGAACAAACATTAAAACTCTTTATAACTTTAAAACACTGTTTTTAGGTTCTGCTCAAATGTGCTCACTGCCATACGAAATTAGACCCAGAAAAACAGTAAGAGAAGCACATGTTTATACTGGTCAGTGATAGAGAACTTATGGAGGTCCCATACATTTTGATAGATTCCAGTTAACATAGTAAACAAATAAGGAATTTTCCTTAATAAACAATGTTCTAAGTTAACTAATAAGTAAAGTTTCTTCCTTTTAGAGCCAATCTCCCTTGGAGGTGAAACAGAAGACGTTAGAATGAGACTATGGAAATCCAAAAGGACATTTAAAAGAGACCAATTAACTGTGCTATATACACAAGATCATCCGAACTGTTCATGTGTTTAAAGCCTTTTTTGTAAGGCCTGGCAAGTTGAGGTGACCAATAACTGTCTTCCTCTTCCCCTGCCCTCTCGCCTTCTGGGCTTGAAGATAGGCTATGAGACCAAAATGGCAAAGAGAAACTTAATGCCATTGGTACCAACAAGGCATTTCAATACGTACTGTTTTTTTGTGGGAATCAAGGTGACAAAGTAGAAAGGAAGAAGAATGGGGAGGAAAGTTATGGTGCAAAATAAAAAGATCTGAGAACACTTATAATTACAATAAAAATCATAATATGTACAGTAACAGAAGTGTTCTACTGTTAAAAGTTATATAACCATACCGAACAAGGATTTATTCTTGCACAAGCAACAAAGAATAGCGATTGTATTTCTCTTCCTCCCAAATATTTCTTTTGGCTAAAAATAAAACCATTTAATGTTAAGTTCATACACAGACAAGGACCTAGCAGGATTCTGAGGGCCACAGAAAGAGACAGAGCCAGGCAGACACACAGTGTTCAAGGTCAAGAACCAATTCTACCACTAACTCCTAGGGTCCTTGAACATGTGTTTAGTCTTGCTGAATTCCAGTTTTCTCACCTAAAAAACGAAATGTCTGGATAAGTTGCTAACATTCTTTTCCTCTTCTAAAATTCTATGATTTAAGAATTCTCTTTTGTAAGGTATTTTTTTAAGGTTACATCTGCTTCAAGGCTCCTATTCAACACAGACAAAAGCAGAGCACACCATTCCAGAAAGTACTCATGCACATACACTACAGAGTTCCTTCACCAGGCCACTGTACCCTCTACTTTGTTTCTCTGGCATTCAGTCAATTCCCTGAAGAAGAGTTATTACATAATCTAATGCATTTCCACACATTTTCATATTTCCAGCCAATTACAAGAAGATATATCAGACCTACGATATTGACAGCTGAGTTTTTCTCCAGGCTAGAACTCAGGACTAATATCCTAGAGCATTGCTTACCTTGAGGCCCCAGGTTTGACTCCCAACATGTCCCAACTGTCTTTACTGTTTCGAATTCTGCGAATGGTGTCTGCTTGTTCTTTGCTGAAGCTAGCACTGCTATTCGTGAAAGGACGTTTCCCGCCATTTTCACATAAATCAACTATGGATACATAAAAGGTCTGCAAAAAGAAATCATCCCAGAGTAGAACTGATTTTATGAAAATTGCAATTCCTTTTAAGCAGAACTTAAAGAATTTTAATATATTCCAATAACTTAAAATTCACCATAAAGCAAATACGCAGTTTGGAAGATTTTTTTCTTTTATCCTGTGTGTTTATGTGTGTATGCACAAGCTTGTGTGTTTTTTTTAAGCACATAAAAGTGTAAGGAATAAAATTTAAATGGCTCATAATCCTACTCTCAAATAACCACACTTGAAGTTAAAAGGTAGTAGATGAACACTGTTAGAAAAATTCAAATAGTAAATAAAAATGTAAAATGAAAACTGTCCCCCTGCCCCTCAAGTTCCTCTCCTTGAAGTAACCATTGTTAATATTTTTTTAGTATCTTTCCAGAAAAATTTTCTATCAGAATACCAGTACATCCACTTACACACTAAACATTGACATAAAAGAAAGCAGATTAAACATACTGCTTAGGGCGCCTGGGTGGCTCAGTTGGTTAAGCGACTGCCTTCGGCTCAGGTCATGATCCTGGAGTCCCGGGATCGAGTCCTGCATCGGGCTCCCTGCTCGGCGGGGCGTCTGCTTCTCCCTCTCCCGCTCCCCCCTCTTGTGCTCTTTCTGTCTCTCACTCTCTCAAATAAATAAATAA